GATATCTTGATGAAACTTGCAGTATACCTGAGTCACACATAGACAATATGCAGTGCATTGTCAATAGGTCCCCTTGAGCTCGAGGTCGAATAAGAGCACATCTTTGGGTCTTAACTTTTAACATGTTAAAGATATCATGAAGAAACTTTCATTTTACCTAAATTATCCACAGACAATGTACAGTGCACTGTCAATAGGTCACTGTGACCTTGACATTGAGGTCAAAGGTCAAATGAATCCAACTTTTCAGTCAAATTTAGTCTGGTCCGTAACTTTTAAACTGTTAAAGATATCTCGATGCAACTTACAGTACACATGCATTACCCACAGATGATGTGCATGCAAACCTCAAGGTCAAAGGTCAAATAAATGCAAACTTTTCAGTTGTGACTTTTAAAGTACATCTTTATGTATCCAGAAAGGTCAGCCTGCAGGTATCAGACATCCATAAACATTACTTTAATCATTGTGACTATCAACACTCCTGTCATTACGTTCATATGAATGCCAAGTCGGTTGAACCTAACCAAATCATAGACTGGGCAAGTCCAGTGTAAATATGTAGGGACGAATGAGGTAACAGCTATAGTTATTTAAGGCAGTGCCCCCATATGTGTAATGTATGTGCGTGTGCTGGAGACGGTATGTTGGGGTATTTGCCTCCTTGCCATAGCGTGGATCTGTTGCCGACTTTAGAGTGGTACTTCACTGAAATACCACAAAGAGGTCACCTCACATGTTTATAATGTCTATAATAGCAGTGTTCTGTTTTGACTCTTTGATACACACTAAAATTCATCATCCTTACTATTTTGAAATTATATTTTTGGTTCCTTAAACACAAACCAACATTTTTTAGTTAAAGTGAATGCGTCAAATCAGATAAACTACCAAGTCACAACATTGTTGTCATCTGTAACCTTGACCTTGAAAGGTCTTATTTTGACCTTTGACTTGGAACAGAGGTTATTTAAAACAGTTCCCAAAATGTTACTAACTATTTCTGGACCCCAGTTTCATGAACATCCCTTAACTGCAGGAATCTGAAGGTTTTTTTCTTAGGAAAGCATTACTGAAATGTAGCAAAATTTCTTGAATTTAAGATTTTCTTTAACACCAGTAAAGCTTCCCTGCAAAAAAACCCACCCCTCAAGTTGTGGAATAACTTAGGCGAGCTGCAAAAGAAGTTCATATTAATTATGGACTTTTGTGCTGGTGAATATGATGTGATATGAACCTGAAATAGGTTCATATCACATCATATTTACCAGCACAAAAGACCAAAACTTTTTATTGTATGCCTCAACAATGAAAGTTTGTATCATTAGCCTTTTACTCGAATGAGTCTTTGTGTAAAATTTAGCCAGGGTTGAATCCAACAGTTCCGCATCATAGCTTTCAGAAGACATCGTCAAGGTTCTTTTCCTTAAGATAAGTATGGAAGACACGCACTGTGTCTTCTGTGGCCTTTTTGTGTTAACAGCATCTTTATTTTCATGTAGTTTGGAAATTATAAGATGTAACCGAGGCGAAGAGGTCGCCTGCAGCCATCTTCTGTTTTCATCTGACAGATAGCGTTCCTGTCTAACTGCATGAACGACAGGTTCCAGGGAATTTCCATGTAGGCTATATATAGAAACCGATATTCACCGGATAACCAGTCTACATGAGTTTTTGAGGACTGGTCACATGTATAGGATCTGACCAATGTGATTGCGAGAATTTTTCAAGCATATAATAAAGTCAGATATATGCTGACATGCTACCTACAAAATACTGTAATTTGTGTAAGCATTATCTCCCTTGAATTACAAAAATTCTTAGCTACTCTTGCTACATCAATGTTTGTAAAATATGCAGCCAATTGAAGAAAATGGAAGCCGTTTTCTTACTTTTTAATTTGGCTTCCTTATTGATCTGTCCAGTTATAATTAGTGTGGTCATGGGTGTAGTTATGTAGCCCTCGTTCGAAGTGTGAGCTGGTCCAGGGCAGGGCCTTGGTTGGAAAAGTGGGTATATAACAAACAGTATGTTTTTGTTTTGTTTTTGTTTGAAAATTTGGCGGATTCATCTGTGCACCAGCAGCTAATTAGTAAAAATAACACATCTGGTGATTTATATGTTAGTACACTGAAAAATATGTATTCATTAGTTCTTTTTAATGAAAAGTTAGTTTCAGTGAACCTTTCATAGGTAAAACTTTCTCAAATTCTATGTTTCTTATTAATTTTTAAAAACAATTCTATGTGAAATTGCCATATTATTACAAGTCATATACTGTAAGAGTATTTATTTTAGCCGACACAAATTTCAGCATATTGTACAATTTTAACAGGTTAGCGCATTGATGAAATGGCGCAATTGAATCACAATGTATACATGCATAGGAAAACTTTATACAGAAACATCATTTAGTGCAATGTTTAAAGCTTGAAAAAGCTCTAAAATTAGAATACGACTAAAATATATATGTTTACAGGCATTTAATGGCTGGGTATTCTGGTCTGCCAAAATGAAGGTATCATTTAAATTTCTCCCACCCTTCACAGGTGTGTCTCCCGTATTAGCCGGGAAAGATCAGCTTGTCACCCCCTAGGGGGAGATAGCCTCGTGCCGATTAGCACGTTTTTGATTGACGTCATTATAACGCATCATCGGTAATTGTGACGTCATCAAAAGTGAAGGACGATATGCATACCCCACATGTGTTTTTGTTTACAAACATGGCAGACTACTGTAGGTGGAGTTGTGACTGAAATAATAGGATGGGAGAAACATAACCATCCCCTACCTTGAGGGTGTATCGGAGAAATCTCCAACAATCGGGGTGATTTTTTGGTTGTCTAACCCTCGGCAGAGCCTCGGGATAGACAGCCAAAAACAGCACCCCTCGGGTTGGAGATTTCTCTGTCACACCCTCAAAGTAGGGGAAGATTCTATCAATCAACACAACACAGGATAGGAATTCATAGTATATTTTGTTTTATTATGAATGAATATTAATCATAACAACATATGTTGACAAAAGACAAATGATTTAAGTACAAAATCTGAACAGACATCAAAAGTATGAAACAAATAATATTACAATGGGTATAAATACATTTTATTAATTAAAAATATCATGACAAAATGATATTAAAGAGGAAGACAAATAAATTTCACTTATACAAGACCAGAGTAAAACATTAATGATTACCTAGCTACCAACATCATTTAAACATATAGAAAGCAGGAAGAGACATCATATAACAGGAAGTGACATCATATAACAGGAAGTGACATCATATAACAGGAAGTGACATCATAATAACAGGAAGTCACATCCCATTTTTTGAGTAAAACCATCGTAGCCAAGTTGTTTGGTCACATTATTTTCTTGAAGACAGGAAATATACTGGCAAGAGTTTCTCAATAAAAAAATCAAAATGCTTATAATGTGATTACAATTTGCTGTAGCGAGTAAAACAATTAAATGATGTCGTGGTATATCATAGGTTATGATGTACTACAATTTATATATAGATATTTATATACAAATGAATTCAAGGTAACTAAAGTGTAAAACATCTATCCTGAGCAACCATAACTTGATTTCTACCATCTAAACACTATACTTCCATGCCCTCTGCATCTCATTGTATGCATTCAAGTAACTCTATATATAGTTCTTAAACGAATGCATCCTGTTCAGTGCATCCATTTAAAACAAATTTTGGCATTTTAACGTACATTAGATTTATTGTTAATAAAACATAAAAAAAATAAAATGTATTCAGCTATATATTTTCTTGTCATATTGCAAAACACAGTTCATTGACCTCAATAAACTGCAGTTTGAATTTATTTTATGTTAAAAGGCAACTTGGTCAGGAGGTTGACAGTCTACTGGACCAATACTTCAAAGTAGTGTTCCTGACAGGGCAGAAATCAATCACTGTTTCACAAAAATAAAATGTGGTAAATACCACAAAATTTTGAATGCTATAAATATTACTTTAAAAATCAATTATTCTTTCCCATTTTAATTTTAATGAGTTCTGAATTTTCAGTGTAATGTCTAATTGCTATAAATGTTCCAGGAATTTTGTAGCAATTATAAACATCGTGGAAGGGAGTTCTTTACTTTTGTAAGTTTCTTTATATTCCAGGTTTTGTTCATTGTATAACCAATGGAACGGTTGGTAACCTAAACTCCTAAATAATAAGTGGTTGTAAGTAAAATTTTAGTAACAGGATTAAAAAGGAAAAATACTTCGAGTGAATGAAGGAGGGATATTTTAACAGTAAGAATGTACCGTGTATACATTTACTCCATTTTTTATTGATCAAAATTACCCGATATCTACCGTACTCACTCCATTACATTTGCCAAAGGCTATACTTCACTTCATCAATTTTATCCTAGATCTTCTGTACGTTTGAAGTCAGTAGTAAAATGTACTTACCAGAAATGTACTCAATAAAGCCAAGCCTAGTATTTGGTCCCATTTTTATCAATTTAGAGCAACATCTGATCAGTTCTTCCAAAAATGTATAAGTGAATGTTTTTCACAGAACACAGCGATATGAATCAAAATTAGACCCCCCTACTGCTGATAAGATGCTCGAGAATTAGGTCAGGTACTAAGAAGGCCATAAAAAGGTATAAGTTACCATTTCTAAAAAACGGTAAATATGAATTTGATTAAAATATTGATGGTATCTGAAATGTGTAATAAAACCACACAAACACCATGTACAGCAGACCTTGTTGTTAGCTTTGATATCTCCATCATCAAAATGTCATTTCTTGGTCCCTGTGTTTTATCATACTGTTTACTGGGAAGTATTTTCTGCAGTTTAACTTTTACCTTTTTATGTGAGCCGAAAGGATCACATCAGTGAATTCTAGTACAAAGCTTACTGTAACAGGGGTCATTATTTTTTCAATGCCTCCACTAGGAGTCGAACTCGGGACCTCTGGTTTACTAGTGTTATATGCTCTACCGAATGAACTAAAGAGAAATTCTCCCTAGGCGAGTTGGTAAGAAGCAGCTAGTATTTTACCAGGGTAACGTTACTATATATAACACAGGACAATTACAGATTTTCCTCGTTAAATATTAATGCCACTACATGAAAATTTTCTGCAAAAAAGTGGTAGTTAAATAAAAAAAATCTTAACCAGATAGAGAAAGTGACAGTTATTATTTCTGACCTCAATATCATGATTCTGTCCACGACCTCCTTATACATCTCACTTGTAAGTTTACCGGTAAATAAATCTTAAGTTTACTGGTAAATTAATTTTTCATTGAATATGGAAATGGGCCGAATAGAATAAACTGAGACCAAAAAAAGGGAACTTGTTTGCTAAAATTGAAAAAATAAAACAATCTGTCACAAACGTCCTGTGAAAATTTATTTAAATTAGTTATTTAATTTTACACAACTAAGTTATTCATATAAAAAAAACGTTTTAGTCAATTTTCCATGAAAATTGAGTTATGTCAGAAACATGTATGCACAAGCAATTCAGAAATTTGATACACCTGCCCGATATGACATAGATACAGATCCCAACAGATAGGGTACTTTGACATGCAACAGATGTCTACACTAGAGAGATGACTCACACCCAACAATTAAACTAGGTCGGTTACATAAATATATTCTGTAACTTATCCTGCAGCTTCTCTATATAACAATTTTTAGGAAAATTTATAAATAAATTCTGTTAAACTTTTTATCAGATTTGCGATAACCTAGACCTGTACTGTATGCTTGACTACAAATAAGTGTATTGATTGTTTCTGTTTAAAGGAGAGAGTCCCAGTGGTCTATGTTGTATCTCCACTGAAGAAGAGTTCCGATTTGTCAGGATTTTTATAACTTTGAGTTTCTTACCGACATTCTATAAGATAGAGTTATATTTACATGTGAACAAAATATCTTTTTTACAATTTCTTTTATGACTAAAAACAATTTCCTCCACGATAATTCAATCCCAAGACCTTTTGATTATAATCCAGGGAACTTCATGCTTCATGATAGTTGTTAATACTTTTCTGCAAAATTACTGAGAACAATTTCAAAATGTCTGAATTCCTTACTTAATAAATCTCCTGCATATTATTTCCTCATAAATTTGTCATGTTTTATGATCAGCAAAGTTGACTGGACCATATATGAGGCACTAATAAAGAAACAATCAAATTATTTTTACAGTTGATATCCAAATTGGCTTCAGTCTTTTTCTTATTAAAAAAATCTGCGAAATCATGGTGGTCTGGAGATAAATCCCAAACACGCCAGTGAGTATAGTTACTGTAGGGCATTGCGATTCCTATCCTAAAACCAGTTCTTTTGACCCATAGTCGTATCACTTAGGTACTCATGGACTTAACTCATTCACCCCTGAAATTTCATAATGAACTATTCCAACATTTGAATTGGAAGAGTTCAAATGTGTCTTCAGGGGTGAATGAGTTAATGTAGCAAGGTTTCATTATTAAATCCCAGATAAAAAAAAATGCTGACACATTCCGTAAAATGGTGATGCTATCATATCATAAAAGCATGGAAAATGGATAAAAATATTGGCTATAATATGGCTTAAGGCTAATAGCACAAAATATACATGTATACACAGAGTATGTGTTTGGTTCCATATGATGAGGTAGTTTAGTCATTAAGTTCCATAATGGTGACCTGTAATTAAAATATGCAAGATGACCTCATGTAAAAGTCATCTTATTAAAAAAAATAACGACTATGACTTGGTGATGATAATCTGTTTCCAGAACCATCAACAAACAGCTGATTGCGGAAAAATCTTACAGTTTCCCATGTGTTCAGTACGACAGACTCATGTTGAGTTCAATAAGGATATGGAGACAAATCCCCCGACTTATGGCAGTTATTGACGTGTGATTGCAGAGCTTAAGTATCGTGTTTTGATTGTAAGTAGATTTTCAGGAGGACAAGGGCAGTTGACAAAAACACCCTTCATGTCACAAACAGACCTGATTAATGTTTGGTCTGGTTTCATACAACTTTAAACTGATGTAAGAAGTGTCTTGAATTCTAAAATATAAATATTTTTGATTTTCCTAGAATGACAATTTTTGTATGGTGTCAAATAACTGATTTCACTGATTAGGGCATACCCCAACAAATACATGCCGTCTACGCTTTACTGTCGATAGGAAATGTACTTGCTTCCTTGTCCAAAATTATGTAGGGTATAAATCCAGTATTTTTTTAAGAAAAAAAGACAAGTCTATAGCAAAGAGTACCATTGGAATTGGAGGAGTGAAACCAGTGGCATAGCAAATCATTTTCCGGGGTGTATGCTTACAAGGGTTTGAGCGTCCCAGGCGTGTAGTGCCAGAGGAGGGGAAGGTAGTGGGGAAGAACATTTTCTCAAACTCAAATTTTCAATAAAAATTAAAACCAAAGTTAATTAAATCAGTTGATAAATTCCCAATATCCCTGATTATTAATGATTCTGGAAAACATACTTATCTAGGATGAATGGGTGATCATGTTTAGTAAATAATGCAATACAAGCTTGATAATCGTTAACTGATCTTTCAAAAAAATAAAAATAAATGATAAAACACAAATAAAATTCACAAAGATTGAATAGTACGATAGAGTAACTTGTAAAACCTTAAATAATCTTTATCAATAAAAATCACCGAGAATTGTATGTATATGTAGTGTGTGCGCAAGTAGAATTACAAATTCAAACACTCAGACGAGAGTCGAAAGCTTCTGAGTGTCCCCCTCGTCAGTAGTAACAGTCTTAAACCGACTCTTATACACACTGTTATCGTATGAACCCCTTGTCGGCAGAGTCTGTGATTGACCTCTGACCCCAAAGTCATGAGACGTAGGGTTTTTCATTTGTTGTGCTTTTGGAGTTCGTATGAGGGGTACCACAGTGTATTGTTGTTTCTGTCCCACTGGGGGTGGAGGGACTGGTTTGCTAGGCTCCTTAGGAAAAATCCTACTGTTCTGTGAAGATTTTTTACCTGAGCTTTTTAAGGTGGAAGCTTTTTCCTGGCCTTGTTGACCATTGGTAGCACTTTTTTGTTGACTTTCAGAACTATTTTCAGTTTTCTGTTGCAAATTTTTGGTTTTCTTCTTACCAAACATACTTCCGAATAAATTCCACGAGGATTTACTCTGCATCGTCACACTAGCTGATGCGGCTCGCGGCCGTTGTTCTGGCTGTAGTTGACTAGAATCGACAACAACATGACCTGATGACGGCATCTCGTGAAAACTATGTCGATACGAGGCTGGCCTATGAATCTGTGTGGCTAAGTTGTTACCACTTTGAAACATGTTGTAAATATCCGCGGAGCTTGCAAAAAATGGTCGTCTGCCGTTCTGGTTCACATTGTCTACAGAAATGAAACGACCTTTATGGGGCATTCCGTCCATGCCACCATTTGCAAAAATATTATCACAACTTGTATTTCCTTTCACAAAATCACTAGAAGTAGACATATTTCCAATTGAACTACCTGACTGATATGACAAACTTCTGGCAGGGATATCCCCACCAAATGGCACATGTCCTCCATAGTCACTACGAGCAGAGTTAGGTCCCCTTGTATCCATGGAAACCATACTTTTCAAACTTAACATTGGTACTCCGGAGGAACCTGGTGGCTGCATTGAAGGGTCAAGTTGACCAATTTGAAACTGACCCATATTTTGGGAATTCCGATGTGCATGAGGGTTGTAATAATTATCATTTCCATAGTTTTGTTTCATCGTTTTCTGATGAAAGTATAGCACTTTTGAATCATCTTTCAAATTTTCATTTGTTTTATCAAAGTCATAGTAATTCCGGTAATTCCTATCCATATCTGTGAATTTGTCAGACAAATCTCCTTCGAACCTACGTAAATCCTCTGGTGGGCCTATATTTTCACCACTATGTGTCCTTGCACTGCGCATCTCCGTATTAGCTCCCAATTCAGTGCCTCCCTTTTCATACATGTAAACTCTGTCGGAGAAGTCATTATTGTTGACGTGATTTGCTGTTGTCACCTCAGGACTGACATCCGGCGCACTTTGAACATTTTGAATATTTTCTTCCTCTTCAATAATTGCCAACTGTCGTAATTTTTCCTGCAGGGAATTGTCCTGCGATTCCACCATTTTGTTTCTCCGTCGCACAGCCCAAGTATTACGTGTAGATGGCTGATTGTTAGTCAACGCTGGTTTTATGATAGGTCCATTAACAGAAGCTTTTACATCCCGTTTCACATTACAACCATTTCCCTGATTATAGGAATTTTCGAGATCAGAATTTGTCGTTGATGATGAAGAGCTAGATGACAGTGGGGAAGATAAGGAAGTTCCTGAACTTGAGTTTGTACCGTACCCGTCATCTAAACTTTCATCTTCAGACACTTGTCGTTTTGGGGACATAAACGTCACTTTTAGATTGGACCTGACCCCATTTCCCTTTGAAATGATGGAATTGGTGATTTCTGGCACAACTGACTCATCTGAGGCAGGAAAAGTATTTTTCGATTCATATTTCTGTTTACTATGATTGATACTTTCTTCGTTCCTTTTTTCTTCCTCCGTGGTCATCATGATCATAGTGTCTGCTGATGAATCACTGGCCGAATCTAACACATCATGTGGATCGAAATTGTCAAGCATTTGTGCTGTCACTTCCGGAGTTAAATGTTTCATAGGGGGACTAAGTAAGTCACTGACTCCCTCATCAGCCTCTTTATCAACTGTCCAAATAATGTCATGCTTTGTGACATTGGTACGAGTCAGAGGTTGCGGCTCCGGAGTTGAAGCACTCCCTGTAGGAGAGGGATTGGAATCGTGTCCTGGCGATTTTGGCGATGGTGGCATACCATTAGTCGTAACTCTGTGTGGTAAACCGCGCGGAGGAATCTGAGGAGGTAAATCCTGTGAGACTACAGTTTTGGTTTCATATTCACTTTGCTTGTTGTAAGGGTTTACCACACCAGTTCTGTGGTCCGTTTGGTTGTTGGAAGGACGTCCCTGTGTGGAGTATCCTGTGTCTCCTCCCTGGCCAGTGGGGCTATGTACTGATTCAACCCGGTCACTACGCTGTGAATAGGGGCGAGACCTCGACTCATTCACCTGCACATTGTTTTTAGGTTTGTCATTCACCCGACGTGGCAATGAACTAAACGGCCTTCCTGTTGACCCCACCGAATTAGGAATAGTCCGGTTGTAAGGGTATCTCTGGGTCAACACGGAAGAATTTGGTGATGTTTTTAACAGACTGGATATTCCCCCTTTGGGTGGGAACTCTCCAGCTTGATCTGTTGACTTCCTCACATCTATGCTTCTAGGTGGTAAAGGTGGTGTTAGCTTGTCATCACGGTTCACTGTATCCTGTTGGGTTTTACGGCTTGCCTGAGGCATCCTCCGAGGTATGAAGGATTGCTGGTAATTCTCAATCATATGTGACGGCCGAGAAGAGCTTTGTAATACCTGTTGGTGACTCGTACTGGTCATTTTGTTAATATTTTTCCTTTTGACTGTCACAACTAATTAGTGGAGTTTTACTTTGCACCAGGTCATTGTCTACTACCACTGTGAAAACTTGCCATTGTAAATAAACGATGACTTTTACCTGTGATCAGTAATCTCAGCTATGTATCACGATCATTAGTTTTCTTTTACAGCCTAGCCACATAAACTACATTCCAACTGTCGTCTGCTTGTGCAAAGTTATGCATGGTCACACTCCAGTTATCAGGCTAGTCAATCAGTCAGACGGTCACAAAAATGCCATATTACACTGACCAATGGTCGAAACTGGCCCTCTGGCCATCATTGGTTGCTTGCATGTAGTAGTGGGTCTATAGGGGTGATCAGGTTCTTGGTTATCAGTGTGGAGAGTTGTGTAAACAACACAGCTTAAAATAACACACATGTCGAAGTAGATCCAGTTAAGGTGTTGTTAATTCATTAAAAAATATGTCTTGTAATTAAATCCCAAAAGAATGCTGTTAATTGTTTTTAGTGTGATGACGAATCAGTTTTTTCCCCTTCACAAAATAAATTCCCAAGAGCTCCAACGTAATTCCTGATTGATTTAAAAACCAGGTGAATTTTCACAGAGTTCTACCCTGTTGTCTAAACACAAGGCCTAGCAGGCTAATTCTGCAGTAATTCAATTTGGTATGCAACAGCTGGCTAGCTGGTCAATACTTTGTCTATTTCCTGGGGGCAGCCAATGACACAATACCTGCTGTAATGAAACTAGCACACAAAACCTGACCTAGGGTAGCACAACACCAGTGAATTTAGCTCAGTCACTGTGGGAGTGGGACAAAATTTCTGTTAATTCCACGAAAGTAGAAAATTCTGCCACGGGTGTTGATATTTGATTAAATTCAAGGTAGTTTCTGTCGATTTGTAGTGTTTTGTAGTTTCGTAGCAACACTTCCACAGCATTAAATCCAGAGTTTCGTTACCACACCAGGTGCACTGTGTTTATGTACTGAAATAGCCACAGTGAAACACAGAACTATAAATCCACAACTTCACTTCCGCACTATATGTCTGTGTGCAATCCAGAGTTCAAAATGTCACTTTACAGGTAGGTTTCAAGCTACTAATTACCTGATATTCTCTGGAGATGGTTCGTATATAACACACGAATGTACAGCCAGTTTTTCCTGTACCTATATATGCTGTGTGTTAAGAGTCAGCATAGCCTTAAGTTATTGCTGCTAACTTTACATGCAGAGTTCACTAGTTGTAACCTGTAACTCATCAACCAGACAACAGATCATGCAGATGCTCTTCGTTTCAGCAGCAGACGACTGGCCTCTGATTGGTGGGATGAGTCAGAGTGACACTAAAACTACTCCTAAACCTTACACAACACATACAAGTATCAGGTTTTCCATTAAAATCCAAAAATCGTCTTGAGCATCACAAGCGTATCACCAGCTGTGTTTGGGTAAAACTGACTGAAAATCTCATTCAAGTGGCACGCAGTAGGCAATCTCTTGATGCATTCTCTTCGGGTTTTTTTCTCTCTCTCAAAGCTTTTTTTCTTCAAGCATGAACACACCATAAAACTTTCAGAGTTTTTTTTATTTCATTTTACTTTTGGAGATCTTTGCTGGTTCAGGAGTCGACTTCGTGGACGAGTAGATTGAGTGACCAGACATCAGAGTCCTCTCTGTAACATAGGAAAAGAAGCAAAGTCAGTCAGCCATTCAACCATGACAATTTAAAGTGTATTAAACCTTACTGACAATCTTACCTCCTTTACAAAAGCCTGGTTAGCATACACAAACAACAACAAGGATACTTCAGCACTATGAAAAGCTGATTAAACCAGACTTATTTCTAAGTTTCTAAACAAAGTCTGGTTATTTTACAAAAGAGAGGTTATCATGACAAAAAATATCAATTTTAAAGAATAGTTCATTAAATAGCTTTAGCTTCATGTGTATGTACTGTATCGGATGAATTATAGCTGTAGGTTTATTCATGAAAACTTGAATTTGAGATTGAGAGAATGCAATTTCAATACTGTTGATAATTTATCTATAGAATTAATAATTGTGAAATTTTTTAGTTCTTGAAACAATCTCCTCAGATTTTTTAACATTTTTTTTAAACTTTTTTTTTATTTGTCAAATATTTTATTTATCTCGCCTTTGCAATAATTATTATATAATTTCTTTGAGGATTTAATGTCAGAAATTAACATAAAACAAATCTTTCAAGAAACTAGAGTGATTTACAGAATATAATGAAAGACAGTGAACCTGTCTATACAGAACATCACCGAGACTGACATAGACAGGTGTTGGTATTCTACAGGTTTACTAACTGGATAGGTTCACTGTAGGGGCTATTTCATGTCTCTGAATGGAGGTCTTTTTGGGTAAGTTAAATGAATGGTTTCAACAGTGTTGGATCTAAGGATTTAAAGGAGGTTTTCATTATCAACTTTCACCTCAGACAATTTTCTATAAAAAATTTCAACACCATATTTTTCATTTGGATCCACCCCAGGTATATTCGGAAATTCATAAACGTATAGACCAACTACCAACACATCATCTATAAATCAATATAAATGTGTCGATTTGAAAATGTATAATCCCATAATAGATTTCCGATGAATCAGCATAAATTTCCCGATATTTGTATATGACAAAACCAATCTGACAATACATAAATACATATTGGCCTGTTTCTAATGCGAGCAATACATTTTTCATAAATCTTCAATTTCACCTGGCATTGTATAAACTGACTGCTGTCTACCGTGTTATGAATGAGATGCTATATACATAAGTCCTGCAGAAAATAATGGTGGGATGGGACCTATAAATAAATGTACGTGGGAACCATCAGTTGTATGAGTAAGCTATAGCTGTATGTATTGATACTATCAGATGTAACAGATGATATTTTTGTATGGACTGGCAATCTTCCAGTTTCTGCTTCTCCATACTGTAAACATGGTATCTGTGTTGGCTTGGAGGGGTGGGGGGGGGTGGGGGGAGACCTTTTATTGAAAAACATGAATTTAAGGAAATTCTTTCTCTGAAGTGAAGGCAGTCAGATTTTGCATTTCCTCCATTTCCCCGAGTTGTCTCCCTTTTATACCCCACCCTTGGCCTTTAACCCAGGATCTTCTGCTACAAGGTGACAAATCTAATACCCATACCATAATTTGTAACAACCCAGAGCTACAAAGGTGACAAGGAAAGCCTAAACAGACCACAGAAAATATCCATGGTACAACCAACTTACTGACCAGACACCTCCATGGTACAACCTGTTAGCTAAGTAAGAAACCACTCCATAGCATCCCATTAAGGAACCACTCCATAGCATCCCTGCAGATTTGGAATTGAGAAAGCCACTTTGTAATTTATAACCCATTCACCCCTAAAGCCACATTTGAACCATACCAAATCAAAGACTGGGCTTGTCCAGTTTAAATATGTAGGGGTGAATGAGTTAAGCGGCAATTAAATTTGGGGACCCCCTGCAGAATCGGGGTTATGTTTATGTGCCCTCTACTTGGGTGCACAAAGGTGACCAAAATAAATCTGCTGTGCCATTGTAACATTTGGGATCTTCCTCTAACCAAGCAGGTTCCTAAATGTTCCGTACTTGCTTGCTCTCTGCTTGGCTTTCAGCTTGAATGGATTCCAATACTGACAGAGTGAAGTGTCATGGTATGTTCAGGTTATGACACTTAAGTGAGATTACATTTTAAGGTGGCACATGAGTGGCCCAACCATTCGTGGACACCGACTTCTTATGACCTCAGCTGTTGCCAGGACATAAAGCCCATACCAATGTAACAGGAGCGGAAAAATGCATAACCAGATCAGAGTTCAAACCCGGAACTCTCTGAACTCCAGGCGAACGCTTTACTAATTGAGCAACCTGGTCACCGATGATCGACCCAGTCTAGTTCCGCTACATTCCTCCTTCCTTTAACAATGCTTCTACCCAGAAGACACACGGAGACCCTATACCACCTACTGTGGGTTTATTTCGTTGGGTGCCAAATGTAACAGAAGCGGAAAAATGTACGGCCAGAACAGGGTTCGAACCTGGGACCCTCTGAACTTTAGACCATGCTCTACCAGTTGAGCTACCTGGTCGCCAATGATCGACCCAGTCTAGTTCCGTTCACCAAACCAACCACTCCATAGTACAACCTGACACAACCTGTTCACATGAAAACGAGTAACATGTATACACTCTCATTGCCAAGCTTGGTTATATTACTGGCAGATATGCTGTCTTTGAACATCACACAACAAACAACCACAAGCACTCTGATCTATACTCTACTCATACAGAACATAATATATCTCATACAACCCGATACCAGCATCTACAAGTTGTTAATTGACACCAAAGCATTCAGAAAGTTCCTTGAGTCAGCAATAAACAAACTATTTACTAAACGTAATTTCTCTCTTTCCACTTGGTACCGGATGACATGTATATACAGTTGAACCAAGACTGACTAATAGTCTCAATGATAAGATTTATAATATGTTCATGTTGTAGACTTGAGCAAGTCTATCAAATACAATGTCAGAACATTGTTTGGGGAGATAACATAGTTCAGAGCGTTAACTCATCACCCTTACATTTTTAAACTGGACTTGCTCTTTCTTTGATTTGGTAAGGTTCAAATGTGACTTTAGGGGTGAATGGGTTAAAAGCAAAAGAGATGTAGCCAGTAAGTGGGAACTTGTAATCTGGAAATCCATGTCTCAGAAAAACAAATTGGGTTGCCAAATTTTTGATCAACTGTATAGATTGTTTTTCATATCAATTTCAATTGTAGTTCTGCAGATGCTGTTCAATCCCAAATTTTGACATCAAATTTTCAAGGAAGTTTCCGTTACCAATCCACCTGTTGTAGAATAGCAACATTCTAATAAATGGAGTAAAATTTCCAACATTAAACACCTCTTCTTAGATGAGTCATAGGTATTAAAATGTCTTTACTGTGAGTGAAAGTGAAGACTAAATGGCCCCACCCTGACAGAGATAGACAGAGGATCCCCTCACCAGAAGATAGGAGGGAGAGTTGGGGAAGGGGGCTATGTCAGAGACTACGCTAGGTGATAGGCAGAAAATTGTGGGGTGGGAGTGGGGAAGAAACCGGGAGACAGCTGATCCCCTCCCTAAGAGATAAGAGAGCTGGGGGAGGGGGGCTGAGGGGAAGGTCAGAGCAAACTGATAAACACCACTAATAATACACAATAAGACCAACAGTTAGCGGGATAACAAGGGGGCCTCAGGTCTCAAAATACTGCAGAATAAGAGACATCACGATTACAGTTCCTGTAATAGTTCAGCTGTAGGAGGAAGAGAATGTAACAGGGTGGTTGTGTGATGAGACTCCATGCACCAGGAAATGTGTTGTTGTGAAGCAAATTTTGAGAGTTGTCCTCCCAACACTGATGGGCTTGTCCAACCAGACCTGGTCAGCAATCAGGTTCCACACCCAGCGTGGAGGGGAGTAAGGGGAGATAACTTGTGTCATACTTGTAAATGGGAGTTAGATACAATTGAAGAATTTGGAGGGTCCCAGGTTCGAATCCCAGTCTGGCCATGCATTTTCTCTTTACTGTCACCCATCATTAAAATGTGAAAAATGTTTTTTTCTGAAGATTATTTCAATGTGAAACAGAAATGTTTTCAAAGAAAATTGGTAGCCTGGGAGGATTTCCCCGAAAGCCCACCTGTACAAATTAAAACTTCATGTCTAAATGATTGTATTCCTCGTCAGTGACATGAACGTTTGTGAAACACAATAAAGTATTTGTGAGATCCATCCCTCAATAAGTCCTGTGTATGGTGTAAACTCCACCAAAATACACATCAATCAAAAGGTCATTCAATAATTGTCCTTCTGGCTGAGAGAACTTACCATTAAAGCCATTTATACCCACATTACATATAGACAGGGCTTTATATGTAGTAAGTAGGGGTTGGGAGCTGGAACTCTAATGGGTGGCGAGACAGGGGCCGTAATGAACCTTGCCTGACTCTATACTCAATTAACTTGCTCCAATCATCTGACGCCTTCAGGATGTTTAGCCAACAAAGGTCTCGGCCCTCAGTACATAATCATAATATACCTTGGTACAGTGATTTTAGGGCCCAAATCTCAGTACATATCACTTTACTACAGTAAATGTTTGGTCCTTTAACCCAGCACATAACACCCTACTACAACTGTGAATTTTACGTCCTGTACCCATGGCCTCGGGACAAATAACACTTCACTACAGTATTTATAAATCGTACCATATTCAGCAACAGATGAAATATCCTGACCCTCACTACATACTGTGAATTTTCGGTCCTATACCCATGGCCTCAGGACAAATAACACTTCACTACATTATTTATAAATCGTACCATATTCAGCAACAGATGAAATATCCTGACCCTCAGTACCCAAGGCCTCGGGACAAATAACACTTCACTACAGTATTTTTTGAGACATCACAATCGTATATATAAATAAAAACATATTCCACAACAGATAAAATATCCGGACCCTCAGTACTGCGTAACACTAAAAAAGTGATTTTTAAGTCAAGACTTGTTGGATATAACAGTCAATTACGGTGAAACTTAGGTTTTAATGGGTTGGAACCTTGGTGTAAAAATAGA